ACGAGCCCGACCCTGACCGATCTGACCGGACAGCAGGTGTTGCAGCCTGCCGACCGAGCGCACCAGCCTCGACAGGGACTGATAGCAGGACAGGAAGTGTCCTGGCTTGCCAGGTGCGACCGAATCGAATGGGCTGGCCCGGAAATTGATGTGGTCTGACTAGGAAATTCGTATGGTTTGACTCGGAAATTGACTCCTCTCGACTCCAACATGGATTGACGAGTCCAGACGATTCCGAGCAAGCCGCTGGTGAGTCTCGTAAAGTCAGCAGACTTGGAGATCCTTTCCGCGACATCTCGGCATTGCAAGGCGACGACGTTTCCTGCGGACTGTCCAGTCGGCGACAGGACAGCCCAACGATGCCAAGGCCGCTGACGGCACTGCACTGCACCCCTGCACGTGAGAGGGCTGAGAACAAGGGTGTTGTGAATGGTATGCGTGGCGCTCCGTGAGCCTGGTGAATAGGTGCCCGCTGCACTCTGTGCGTTTGCGGAATATTTATGAGTCAGAATTTCCGCCGGATCTGGGACCGACGTTCGTTCGCAGCCGCTTTTTCAAAAGGAGGTGTGGCATGTTGGTAGAGTTGTGTGAACTCTGTTCGCACTTGTTTATTCTGTGGAGTAGCCGTTACGCATACATTAGCATTCTTCTCTTGCGTTTTGATTCGCTTTCTGAGTTAGGCATAAGAGAGCTCGTTGAAATACAAACAACTCAGGTCACTGGCATATGGGCGGATAGCCTTGAATGTCAGCCTTCTTCCGGCTTCCATCCCTCTGTTCCAATGGTTGGCAGCCAGGGTCACGTTTTCAGTGCTCTGTGCACACATCGGTCAGCTCAATGCACTCGTCGTCAGTGCAGGGGCGAGGTGAACATGAATGTGCGTACTGCATGCGTGTGCGAAAAACTAACATCCATCCGGTCACTCAACTTTCTCGCAGCGTGGAATGGGCTCGCCTTAGGCAGCAGGATGATGGCAAGGTACCGGAACGAGCCTTTGCACCGTCATTTTCAGTCCGGAGGGCACGAGTGACATTGAAAGCAAGTGGTCGTTGACGGGTCATCAAACCGCTGCCGCTTCGGTCGGCGGTTGGATGGCGGCTGCCCTTTGCAGAGGGGCCGCAGCCGGGGGCCACCGCAGGGGCAGGATGTCCCCTTCTCACTCGCCCCTCCGGCCTCGGAAAGCCCGCGCAGTGCGCAGCGCCACTAAGTGGCAGCCACTGCGCGTCTCGGTTATGACGTATGCTGACCAGAACTTTGTAGTGGGTGTTTGCTCTTGCTTAGACCTTGAGCCAATGCAGCAATGGAAAACAGTATGCTTGCACGGTCATCAGTCTTCTGAGTAACTGTTCAATATTGGCCATCGGGCATGGTTATATACGGATACCGCCAATTAATCAAACCCTCTCCCTGAGCATTCTGTGGTCATTGACCGGCGCGCCGTGTACCCTGCGGCTCCACTGACGACCCGTATCGGACACATACGGACCCGGTAACCACTGTTCCCTTGATGAGAGCCGTCCAGGTGATCTGTGGCCCACGCCGGCGGTCACGGTCGCCCCGAGCGCTCCTGCATGAAATGATGGATTATTACCGAGTGAAGTCGGCCGCAAGAGACTACCCGGAATACTGAACCCCAGCTCCGGCAGCGCTGAATGGAGATGTCAATGTAAATCGGGTGAATAGACAGCTGAATTCACGAATAAGCTGTAGATGCATTGACATTGTAAAAACTAGGATTTTCCGTTTTCTTCATCTGCACGCGATCCAAATCGATTTTCTTAGATCGTCGGTGAGCAATTTGTCATCGCTGTCACCATGCGACCCGGGTCAAAGCATCATGCAAGGCCGGGTCAAAGCACTTTCTCATTTCACCAGACACCGTCCAACCTGTCTGGCATGGTGGGTTCATGTGCCGAAATGCAGCACATCTTGTGAAACGCGGCGCTGTCTGCCGGACGAAACTGCCTTCTAGGAGCGCCTCAGTCTTCTCAGGCCGGTTACCCACTATCAGGTCGGATTAGGGCCGCTTTATGCGTCTGGCTATGACCAGAAGCAGGCGGTTTCTATTTGAAGGCTGTCTGGCCATGTAGCGGCTGCATGATTCATAATCAGGTCGCGATACCTCATATCCGAGTTTATTGCCACGTACTATATATCCCCGTAAAGTAGCTTAGCCTGGGTAGTTCAGACTAATGAACTGCTTCGGTTAACTTTGAATGTTAACCTTTTCTCGGACTTCTACGTGGGAAAGTCAAGGAGGAATATCATAAGGCTATCAATTTTGGTATTATAGCTACCGGTACTTACTGCCACGGGTGGAGAATTGTGCTGGACTGGGGGTGCTCGAGCTCTCCCAATTCCACGCCGGCCACGCCGGCTTGGCTTTGGAGCCGCGGCCGGGCGGCGCGGGTCAAGGTCACCGCTAGGCGGCGGCGGATTTGCTGCGCCCGAGCACCCCCAGCTGGTCACAATTCTCCACCTATGCTTACTGCAATTACGATAGAATATTAAAACATTTGCACTACATTGCTTAAACGCAATAGCTATTGCTGTGCGGAGATATATTAATATCACTGGGAAGTGAAAGACGGCTCTTGTTGACCGATCTTTAATTGAAAGGAGCTCATTTTGGTGCAGACAATATCGTCAATTACGTAAACGAAACACTATAGTGAGCCTTCCTGCGCAGCTTATCGCAAACACTGTACTTTTGCAATCTATGGCAACTCCTTACATAACACAGCAATTAAACAAATATACGATAAAGCAGCCTGCGATTTGTCTTTATGATTCCAAGTAACACTGGAATGTTGACAGCAGTGCTTTATCCAGAATTTGACCAGGGTGTGGTATAGATGGGAACGATTACTAGCAGCTTTGCCTATTTATAGGTAGGGGACGGGTATGGAAAGAGATACGGAATAGGAAATTTGATATGGCCCATCACATTTACCTTGTACATAATTGATGCTGAAGCCAAATGTGTGTTAGATCGTATATTTGCATATGTGTTGCAGATGTCATGGGTTTAGAGTTTCGACCTTCTCCTTACTAGTTTTGTTTTATTTTATGGTCTCTTTTTATACGAAATTTGTCAAATATCTCTGAATGCCTGGCAGAACAGACGCTCATGCTTCATCGGCTGTGAATTATTCGCCCTCATCACTGAACCGGGCACTTAAGCTTTAGCATAATTTATTTTTATGGACAGCATTAGCCATACTCTGGTCCACTTTATTCCATGCGCGCTCTACTCCACTTCCCTGTGATGTGGCAGGTTTCAGCAGTCTATTTCAGCGCTCGGCCACCTGTGACCCCTCGGGCAACTTTCCTGATAATTCCTCCCATCTCCCAGACGAGCAGTCTACTGCCCACTCCCCTTCGGCCAAATGATGAACTGACGGCTCATAAATTGAGGTGTTTAGGAGGTGCGTGGAATTATAACCAACGCATTGTACTTTTAATGTGCGTCGACCGCTCCTCACGCCATAAATTCCGATTGGAGGCACGCACATGCGTGAGCGCCGGGCGGGCGGGCCCGAGGGAGCGCCCGGGGCGCTGTCTGGCCAGCCCGCTGCGGCGGCGGGTCGTCGACCCGAGACCACCTCGTCGGCCGTCCGTCGCACCCCGGCCATGACAGGCGCACTGGGGCGAGCGGCGAGCGCCATTGATGCGGCAGGGCCGGCCTTCGAGGCGTCGTCCCATGGCATCCCGTCTCCTCCGCCGCCTGAGCTCCTCCCCGCCTCGCGTGGTGCCAGCCGAGACCATGTCACAGACGCGGAGCCAGTCTGTCTGGAGCGCTGCAGCACCGTCTCCAACCACGTCACCTAGTCCGCGCCGAGACCCTCCGCTTACTACGAACTCCTGCCGAGTCTGCGACCAATGACCGAGCGTGTCACGACTCTGGGAGCTGAGTCACCCTCCACCGCCGCCTCCGAAGCTGCTCCCCAGCTCAGACACGCGTCATCTCCGGCCGGAATCGGAGCACCTGGGACTGAACCTGCTGTCCTTGGCCGGGCAATGAGAGACCGCGGGCAGCGCGGCCACTGCAGTGCTGCCCAGCGACAGGGCCGACCGGCCTTGTCTGGAATTACCCTGTGCCGTGAGCGCAGTGTTTTGCCGCCGCCTGTCTGGCAGGGATTATCTGTCCATCCGTCGGCGGTCTTGTGGTAGGACAGAGCCTCCCACAACAGCGCGGCCTGGTAAAGGCGCAATCACGCGTGTGCCGGTCTTACCGACACAGGCCGGCCGCCATAGAACGGTACAGATGTGGTGAGGGTACAGAAAACAGGCGCATTTGTGGAGTAGAGAGGGGCCTGTCGCGACGCAACACCCCTGGACAATGTAATCAATGGGTTCGTTTGTACATTGTCCACTGTCGAGTTCCAAAGAAAAAATTGCGAAAGTCTTCGACAGGAGTACAAATATTTTCACTACCTTACGTTATCCACGATAATACGAAAAAGGCATACGGATACCCTGGCTCGGGAAACATAAATCGCAAGGATAAGATTACTTGTCAGCTGGCAAGCGTATAAAGGAGTAGATTCCAATGTTTTGCAGCATTAGTTACGGACAGGTAGGTATTTTGTGCGCGCAGGATGACTGTTGAGTTTCGCGTTATGTAATGTGTTGGCGAATGTCTTCCCTGCCTGTACCTATTAGCTCATACGTTGCGAAACAAACAAGGGTAATTATACTGAAAACCAGTTGGACCAGCTATTTTCTGTCTGCTGATAGCAATATGATGCGTAATAAGAGACTGCATGTAGAGTGCCTCTGCACCAAAACACCAAAAATAAGCATGGTTACGTAACAACGCAACATCCGAGTTCTATTTATGTTGAACACAATTTTTGAGCCACGGGCGAGCAGCATAACAACAGCTGCGGCATTCGTTTACCCCAGCGCATGTTCTTGCAAATGCAGACATCGTACAAAATATTTGTTTGATTTAAAAACAACCATATCAAACCACCTCTCCACCTCTCGCCCGGCAGGTATCGGCATTGACGACACGTTCGTGATGCTGGCGGCGTGGCGCCGGACGCGCCTGCAGGACCCGGTGCCGGTGCGGCTGTCGCACGCCTACGAGGAGGCGGCTGTCTCCATCACCATCACCTCGCTGACCGACATGTTCTCCTTCTGGGTGGGCGCCGTCACGCCCTTCCCCAGTGTGCAGATCTTCTGCGTCTACACCGGTGAGTACCTAACTAGTTATATGACATTCTGTCTACCTGTCTGTTAACCCATGTCAATATTTCCCTTTTTTATCAATTTCTCTGTCCATTTTCTTTTTATTCATTTCCTTTTCATCTCTTCCCTTTTCTGTAGCCTCCCTTCTACTTCTCTTTTTTTTTACCTCTTGCCCCGTTTATATTCTTCTCCACCTTTCAACACACTGCTTACTGGCAGACTTCCAAAATTAGACGTCACTTAGCGGTCACAGTTTTCACGTAACCGCAGCCTAAGAACAGGGTCCTTCGTTGGTGAAGTTACTCGCCCTTGCAGTTTCGACACGGCCTGTCGATTGTAGACGGGTAGGTGCGTGTTATCGTAGCCAGTGAGGTGAGCCCCAAACTGCCGGCTGACTGCTGACGCTGAGTTGCGGAGTTGTTTGTGCTCTGCCTCGTATAGAAAGTCGTCATTTTCCGATTGAAGTGGTGCCGAGTGTCTGTTGTGCGGCGTGCGTGTATGAGGCAGTGTGATTTAGGACGCCCAGCGAGGAAGAATGAAGATGAGCTGACGATATTCGTAACCAGTGGTGTATAGAATTACGTTGAATAATTTTCCCATCAGTTGCCTGCTCAATTGTCCTCCAGTTGTACGGCTACGCTTTTTCTCTTTGTAAATTCAGCATCAAAATAAGACATTTTACTCTTGTGCGGCCTGTCAATTTCTTACATACAATAGCATCAATTGGTTACACACAAATTTGCTTTTAAAAGTTTCTTAGACTCGCCTTAGTGTGAGTGCCTACGCTAACGCCAAGGACCTAATTACGTTGTACGCAGCAAACCGATCTGCAATGCCGCGACCTTGCAAGCTACAACCACCAACCATAGATTGTAGGCTCTGCGCGGCACCTGCGAAACCACTTCCTGGAGTCACCTTGTTGCGTCTCTTACGAGTCAAACGCGTCTAGTACGGTTGGGTGGCTCTCATATACGCACATTTCCGCAGACATTTCCGCTCTCGGATATACCATTCGCGGTATCTAAGATTGAAGACGCAGTTAGGCCACTCGCATACCGTTTGCGATACTCAGACTGCACCCCCGGCACAGTCTGGCCACCCGGACATACCAGAGCGGTACTCAGACAGACAGACTGCACCCCCAGGCGCGCGCCATGGTGCCCCCTCCCTCTGTGATAGTTATACATGGATTGTCCTTGGCTATGCTGGCCTGGTTCTGTCAGGCGGCCATTTCCGACGCCCGTGGTGTCGGTTACGGATGGAGCATACATCACGCCAGATGGTCCGGGAACGCCGAATAGGTGTCTGCTATAGCCGATGTAGGTTCAAGGAGAAACGGTGAGGCGAATCGTGGATATATATAGGTACGGATGGTAATTATGATTCTGCGATGCTTCCTTCAATGGTAGAACCGCAACCATCTGTCATTTTGATGTGGAGTCTACACCATGCAGTAACTGCAAGAAATTTGAACTGTACTAACAATGCTTCCCGTTATTTGTAACATCCGCAGCTGGAAGACATTTGAGCACTCAATGTGTTGCATTGATGGTGTTCTTTACGGCAGTCCAACAGGGGACGAACACCAGTCCCACACTTCCTTACATAGGTGCAACTGGGTTCAGTATTCTGCTTCGGCAACAGTAGTCAAACCAGCCACTTTCGCCATTCTGTTTAAGCGTATATGCAATTCATGAACTTCCCTCTCTGCCGTCTGAGCAGCTTGCTGTACATCATTGTTACGCTGGGCATTGCACTTAAAATGCGTCTGTCCTTGAGGATGTCAGACTAATTTACATATGTGTGTCATGGCCTAGCGCCGGCTGCGCGGCTGGTCAATGCGAATCGCATGGCTGGCGGTCGAATCAGTATCCTGTCCGTCAACGCGCCGTCAACGCTCATTTACACATGCATTGCACGCCATTTCCTATGCCTGTGCAAAGTTTACTTTTTGTCTATAGCTGTCTGACCTCGTATGACCCCGTCTCCGTTTATTTGACCCGACTAACCACATCTGACCCCGTCTAACCCCATCTGAGCCCGTCTAGCTTTGTCTGACCCTGCGTGACCCCGTTTGACCCTGTCCGATTACGTCTGGCTCCCACAGCGTCGATTTATATTCTGCCCTGTCTGCAGGATTAGGGACTGTCTGTGCATGCTCTGCGGGTGTGTTGACCCTCGTGTCTGATTGTCTGGGCAGCCCTCCGATGCGGCTGTCCGCTGCAGAATCGTGTCTGTCTGACTGCAGAGAGACATTTGTGACCTCTGTACCGATGTGGCGGCTTCCTGCGGTGTCGGGTGCTGGACCCAGCAGGGGTAAATGGGCGCATTACGGCCATCCGGCCTCCCGGAGAGCGGTAGGCATGTGGAGCTCTCGGTGCGAAGGAACGGAGAGTTTCGGACCTTTTGGTGCGAAGAAACGAAGCGTTTCATGCTTTTTTGTAGCGAAGAAACTGAGAGTTTCATAAGAGCCTCAGTCATTCCGTTCAGTCCGTGGCTCTGGGCTCATTTGGTGTCGGATTCCCTGCTTGCACCTTAAACGGTTTCGATTGACTCCGAACTAATTTTATGTTACTTAGTTTGAAACCTCAAAGTTAATTAAGGACTGTTTTATTACCAGGTCAATATGCTATCGACAAATTTTGATATGTTTTGCTTCGGAACCCGTTTAAAAGCTTTTAGATGACCTGCTTTTTATAGACGATCGTATCACCCGCACTACATCAACCAGGCACAGGGGCGGATCCAGAAAATCTCCAAGGGAGGGGCCATTAGAAACCAGGAGGCCCCCCCATAATCCCACCTGTTGGAGGCCCCATCTTACCACTTGTTGGGGCCCCCCAAAAAAAACTGCGTCTATTGAGCAGCTTATCTAGCTGTTCAGGCAACATCTCAACATCTGTGCAGGCTTGGAGGCCCTCTGTGCAGGTTAGGAGGCCCTGTAAAAGTGGTCATCTCTGTGAGTATAAGAGACCTCCAAGTTATGAAAAGCTTTACCAATCTTCTAACAAAGAAGTCTTCTCAGCTAGTCTTCTAAGAAATAACTAAGTGGTAGGTAAAAAAAAAAACTCATCGGATTTCGGCCACTTTATTTTCAGGAGGCCCCCTTTTCAGCTTTTTAACTTTTTAACTTTTTATTTTATTTTTGAAAAAAGATCGGCCAAGGGGGGGGCCATGGCCCCCATGGCCCCCCCTTGTATCCGCGCCTGACCAGGCATGGGCAGCTTCCCGTTCCATTATCAGAACCATTTCTGGTCGTCCTTCTCAGTGACAACCGTGATTTGTTACGTTAGATAGCCAAATCGTTATGCGTCCCTGAATAGACGACATCAGTGATATCTATACGGTGAAGCCGATAACTGCATGTACACAGCTGACCTCTATGGGATTTTCAGGCATTCCTGCATGTCAGATGGTATGTAAACATAACATTCCTTGACTTCCAAATGTGTCGTGAAACACAACTTCGCACATGGAAGGCAAGTGCATCAGGTGTTAATCCCTCCTAGTCGCGAGCATGAAATCTTTCCTTTAATGGCACCGATGTTGTCTGTGTGACGTCGTGAATGACGTAAGTGTTTCTGCCGTCTGTGGTGTCACTTGAACGAAATATCATCTGGTACAATATGTCACAACCAGGTTACCGTCGTCACGCTAGAGCAAGATCCAAAACCAATCAGCCTTCGGCTTAAATGAAGGCGAATGGTGATATATTTCTCCTTTCGGTCTCGTCTTCAAGAAGGATCCTTCCTTGCATCTCCGCTCCCCTTCTATTGCGCTGCTCAAAACCCATTCATCAATCGGGCAATAAAGGGCAGACCAGGCCGCCTATGAGGTCTGTGAGCCTGCAGAGGGTATTTCCAAGGGCAGCAGCGGTCAGTCGCCCATGCTGCAGAGCTGCCTCCCTCCCCGCCGTGACCAGCACTCAGGGTCTCCTTCCCACCACCCCGTGCCGGTTACAGAGGGCATGGCGGTGCCGGGGGCAATGTTTGAGCAGATGACGAGTGCCGCTCGACTGCATATGCAGCCGTTTGAGATCCGTGAGCGGCGGGAAAACCGACTTTTTGCTCTCCTGACGTCACAAAACCGCTTTGTTTTCGACGAATACGCGTCGGGCTAGCTTGGAAACAGGGAGGATCATCCGAGTAGCGCGCCGATATGTTGTGTCATCGCTGCTGAAGTGGCGTTAAGCGTTTGTTTTGAGGTGCGCCCAGAGCTGGAGGACCCTTTCCTTCATCCGCATTCGTCCGGCACGCCTCCTGCGTCAATCCTCTCCATTTATTGTGTACGAGCCGCGCGCTGTTTCGTCATCGTCTGACTGACATTAAACAGAAAAGCCTTGAATCCAACTCGACAACAATACTGTCATCATACTGTAGGCAATGACCTCTGAAAACCGGCTGAGACGTAGCGTTTCGTCTTTCCTGTATCCTTCACCTCAGCAATGCAGGGTTCAACCTCCTACCCTCCCCACCCTACTCTGAGCCTGGTCGGCCGGAGTCCGGAGCTCCCACGATGGGTCCAGAGAACGGCCCGGTGCGCTGTTTTCGTCTCTGCGCCGCTTCGTGAGCAAATCTGGCTGTCACGCGGCTGGCGCAGAATCATGCAAGCGAGGATGTTAGTCGGACGTCGCTCTGTTAGGATTTGGCTCCCTAGTGTCTGCCACCGGGTCAAGGAAGGAACATTGCCCCAACGTAACCCGTCTTCGGAGCTTAGCCCGACTAAGCCAGGGCACCGATCTTCGTAAATCCATCGGCCGGGACCAGGGTTGTATACGACTCAATCAATAGCAATCAATTCAATCACGACAAATTTGGGAAACCAATCAAATCAATCAAGTCAGAGCAGTTTTCGGGAATTGATTCAATCGACTCAAACGCGACCATGAAAGGAATCAATCAACTCAATCAAACGACTCAAACCAAGACATACATTAGGTTTTTTGCCCAACCAACTTGGAAAAGTGTCCATAGCAGTCTGGTGTACCTACCTACCTACCTACCTACCTACCTACTTACAGAAGAAACATAAAAATATTGTCTTTAAAATTATAAATTGCCATGCCATTCAAAGATTCTATGTTATAAGGAAGGATACCTAGTGATGGACAGGTGGATCATGATATTGAGGTTCAATGGGTAGAATTGGAGCAGAAGTTTCATTTAATGGGTGCAAAATAACCCAGTAGTTGATTCGCCCCTTAACCCAAATACCACCTTTCACCTAAAAGTTGTCAATTTAATTTTGGCCATATTCCAGCTAAGTCATCAGGCCATCTACCCCATGTAAAGCCCCTGTCTGTCTCTTATGTGAGTTATGCTGAGCTCTTCTGAAATGAACCCTAGACATAATGAACCTAGCTAGGTTTCATGCCACACTGACACCATATGAAAGTGTTGAAAATGTGCTACAATTTTGACAACTTCATTAGGTATGCTTTATGAAGACAGCAGGAAAGCAGGTAGGTACCTACTTACCTGCATAGATGTGTCACTGGCTACCAACAGTATCAACGAAGGTAGATAGGTTATATGTGAAGAATTCAAAACATTTTATTGCAATACAATTTGAAACTGTTAGGACTGGGGGATAGGGATGAGGATTAAAAATATATTTAAAAGGAAATGGAGAGGGCAGGGACTCTGGAACCACAGGATAAGTTAAGGACAAAGGAAGTAGGCGAAAACGACACGGTGCGACTGCGAAAAAACAAAGAAAACGTTTTGCCTTGGTTTTGCCAACAAGTATGCTAAGCTTTTATAAATGCTTATTCTACGTCTTTGATTTTTTTGGTAAGATGACGTCATTGATAATCATGTAGTATGGTAGATTATCATAAAATAAATCGGTTGTACAACACCAATTTCGTTTTAATTATTATTTCATTTGAAATAAAACCACTTTGTAATATTCGGTAAAATATTTTAAGGAAAATGAAATATATTAAATATGTTATGCTTAGGCCATGGAGAAAAGGATCAACAAACGTTCTGCTGCAAATTAAACAATGCAGCAAATTTAGCGAGACGAAAACGGCGCTTTTGTTTCAGTTATTTTTGTAGGGGTTTCAGATATTTATAGAGTTCAGTGGGTTGTTTCAAGGCCCTGGTTGTTTCTGATGAGATGTGGAGATGTGGATTATTAATTAATCACACTTTATTAGTATATAGGGCCTTGCACTTTATTATCTAGATTTAAAAAAAAAACGTTCCCTGCTGAGTGCAGAAAGGTAGGTAGGTGCATCGCCAGGTTCTATCACCAGGATTGGAGCAGTTATTGCAGTTGAAAGTCAAAGTTGGCTGTTCATGTTTAGGCCCTGTTCTTTATTTGGCCATCTACCCCATATTGCAGTTGTGATGACAAGCAGTTTTCAGTGTAGTTTTGTGATCTTTGATGTCATCAATTGGTGTCATTATTTTTCGTCAACTAAAACTTATTTGAACTTTCCATTCAATCGACTCAATCATACGAGTCACTCTAATTTTCGGGAATCAAATCAGTCAACCAGTCGCTAAAGTCAAACGAGTCAGTCAACCAGTCATCTCGAAAAGTCAATCGACTCAATCCAATCAACTCAAAATACGCGTTGAATCAAATCAATCAATTCAATCGACTTGATTGGTATACAACCCTGGCCGGGACTTTGCTTCTGACTGGCATTGTTGCTTTCCGGTTTTCCGTACCGGTACGAGGAGCTGCGTTGTGCGATGATGTAATTGCACGACTCAAGTGCACGAAGCACGGAGGGAATCCAGTATGCGGCGGTTTTTTGACGTTAAACCGCTACCAAACGCCATATAGCATCGTCTTCGTATCTTTTTTTTTGGTCGAAAGCTTACGCAACAGCGCTGCTTAAACAGCATTTGGGATTTGTTTACCGCCGTTTCTTGCTTTGATCGACGCTTCACGTCCTACTGCTTTGATGCAAAAAAAAGTATTTTGTCGGCCAACGATACCTAAATTCAGTCTCGAGCTGTCCTGGCACCTGGCATATCATCGCTAACTGTTACAATGCTGTGGCCACCCTGCTTCCACGTTCCATTGCTCGTCACTCCCTCAGAATGAAGTCCTGCATGTCCGCCACTAGGAGGGCAATCACGCCACCGGGGCTGAGGTCTGCCACGCTTGACCGAGCACCGGTCAGCCCTTCCGACGTGTCTGCCCTTGACTGGGCTGTCCATCGCTCGTTCGAGCACTCGGCCACAGACAGTGGGGTGGGGCAGCACTTCTGCACGAACTTGCCCGGCCGTCTGACCCCGCCCCTCCCGGGCACCCCTCCCCGGACCCCCTCCATTCCCAGGCCTGTCTGAAGGTCAAGGTCACCTGAGATCGAGCCCAACCGCCGTGGGATTGCGTAAGAGGGCGTTCGATTTAGCTCGCGCAGCTTGGGGCACTACAGTTCAGGGCAGCGTTCGGGTCCCCATGAATGAATGGCAGGCGGGTCATGACCCCTGGGGGTGGCCCGCTTACTAACGGGAGGGGCCGGGTCAGCACGGGGTCAGATCGGGGTCAGATTGGGGTCATTGCAGCGCGCCTGGCAACGGGGAGGAGCGCCAGGAGCGAGTACGGGACTGGCTTACGGAGACAAACGCAGGAGGCCGCGGGAATGGGCAGGGTGTAACCGAGACATTTCGGAGATTGGACTACCTGATGCTGACGGATGAACCTACATGGCATGGTTGAACCTGAATGCCTACATGGTTGATTGGTATTGTCTAGGTCATGGCCGATTTGTGGGAGAATATCTATTTTAAAAGAGAAATTCGCCCGCACCGCAAGGAATAGTTGGAAATGTTTCGGGCTCAGTTCCCACTGCTAAAGACGCCTTTTATGACAGGGTGCGGTGGCGACCCAGCATTGCAGACAATCATGTCGCCATGTGGCATGCTAGTTGTGAGAGGCTGTTATACAGTTTTTCAGCCTATTGGGACCGGACAGCAGATAATTAATTCGTTTCGGATTAATAAATAGTTGGCGTTAGACGACGGAAGTAGACGAAGACGGTGAACAGTAAACGATAAACTGATAACACAAAAAAGTAGATAAAGGACACTGGGACTGAATTACCAAACACGCATTCGGCCGTGGACGTCAAACAGCTGAGAGATAAAGGCGACCAGGAGCCAAATTACAGTTACAGCGGTCCCTGGAAAACCTTCACCCCCCTCCCCCACCAGTCCGCCTGACCTTTCCGGCGGCGTTCGGACCAGTTCTCGGACCAAACTGACGGTCCTGTCCCTGACCAGACCACCGGCGGACCGACCTGACGGATGGCCGGTCTAGTGCGACAGCTGGCTCCGGAATCGAAGCGACCGCGATCGCAACTTGGCCATGACGGTGGTCCCCGCGAGCACTCTGTGTAGAATTGATGGGCTACAGAACACGAGCCCAAGTTGCAGCGCGGTCCTCCGATGGCCAGAAGCCTGAATAGCCTGATGAATGGCTACATTAGTGACGGTAATTATGTGTGTATTCTCGCCTGTAGTGTCTCATTAGGCGCAGCTGTCCGAAGAAGTGGCGTTCGAGGTAACACCGCCGGCGCTTGCACCACATGGGTGGCGAAACTGAGAAGGGAGGTCTGTGCTGTGGACAGGCCTTCACTGGCCATATGTCGCCTCGCCCGTGTGAGGGCCGTGGACAGCCGTGGACACCCGTGGACGCCCGTAGATCACCGAGTAACGCAATGACCCGCTGGGACACGGCTTCTTTGCCTGTCGCTTGCCGCTCAGACTGTTGTCATATCCTCTCCGGTCTCTGATGTCACATCCAATGCTCGCCGTCGTTCAAGGGCGATCGATGATGTAGCATGCCACGATGCCGTTGGGTACAAACGGCTGTCAACAGGCTTTCGAACCCTCAGGGATAGCTGCTACGGCAAGACGAACGCTGGTCGTTCCGACGTGTTTTCCTGGGCGAAGAGGCTCGCCCGGGTGTGCTTAATAAATTATGAACAGCTGCTCGTACGTTGCACGCCGTTGCAGTATTGATTTCAGTTGACGTCATAGCCCGTTAGCGGGAACTCTCATATATGCAGCCATTTTGTTGTCATTAAAACACGTCTTGGCAATCCTTTGATATTTTAGGCTACCGTTAAAAGCCAACTTGTAATAAACGCGACTGCCAGCTTGCAAGCAAAGCTCAGTTTTGATAACATTGTTGTGAAGCCCCGGCCGGCAAAATAAGCCCGTGGCAAGAAGTCCTCATGCATCACGTGACGAATATTCGGACGTTCTGATTCATCATGACGTCAAAAAATTACGAAATCGTCTGTAAACATCTCAGGTAACCATGGCAACCCCCTTTGTTCCGTTACAGGCATGTCTGTGGTGTTCACCTACCTGTGGCACGTGACGTTCTTCGGCGGCTGTATGGCCGTGTTCGGCTATCTGGAGGAGCAGGGTCGTCATGGAGTGACCTGTCGTCCCGTGCTGCCCGTCTCCCAGTCAGGTGAGGGTCTGCCGGACACGGGGATGGTGACGGGGCGGGGTAGGGGGATATAAGGAGGGGAGGGACCACCGGAGTGGGCAAAGGCGCAAAGATGAGTCGGGAAGGGACGGGCAGGATAGTTCGGGACTGGCAGGATATGCCCGTACTTTACCCCGATAATTATTTTTTATCTCTATTTCATTGTAGTTTGATTCCTTCGTTTTTTTTTTCATTCACTGCGCGCACCCACTGTCTCCAAGCATATTTGCGTCTATGTAAACATCCTACCCGTCATCCTCCAATGCACAGAGCTCTCTCATTCTCCGTGACCCTCCTTCTACTCGGCTTACCTGACTCGAGTTTTTGCCGTCACGATGTTGGCTATACAATAAAGAGCCATTAAGCTGTTGTGGGATTATGTTCATCTCGCAATAGATGGACGATGGAGGCTGGCGAAAAGCTTACACCGTTTTCCATGTTCGTCCTCCCCAGCCCCACCATTATGCCACTTACCCCCACCCACCGTCAAATATAAATCTATGCAAAGTGAGCGCTGTGATACATCAGCATCATTTAGCTGCAGCTTCTCCCGTCAGGACGTGCAAAGCACAAAGGGATCCCTTCATATGATGGACTGCCCCTGCGAACATACCCACTCGTGTAATTGTTCACAGATTAATGACGAGACACCTTCCACATAATTAAGTACCACCTTTAAATAACGAATTGATACCGAAGCCTACGCATATTAAGAAATGAGGGCCTTGATGTGCGTACGGGCGACTGCCAAAGACCACCCTGTACAAGTGGTGATAAATTCCGGTAGGTATGATGTTCCCCTCTCATCCCCCGAGGCAGTGCCTGTCCCACAGGACCATACGTTTGTAAAGATCCTTGAGCTATCTCTTCGGACCGTACAGGAAGTTGGCTAATGATCCATTTCTATTCAGTTCGAGCAAGTTCCGGAAACCATTCATTTAATTCATTATGCACATGCAATTCGAGCAATTGTTTCGTAATAGGGTGAACGGTAAGCGTTTGGAAGAAACGAAAGAGCTGTCGATTCCTGGCACTACCTACACTTTCTAACCATATCTCCGCTAATTATCCCTTACGGCCTTGTCGCATGCACCCTAAGAAGATCATACGCTCATAAGAACCACTTCAGTACTTCATTCATCCAAACTCCTACTCTCAGTCGCGTTTCCGGGACATTTCATCCCCGCCCTCGCTCGATTTCAGTACTCCATCGCACCCGTTTCTTGATCGGCATTCCCGCAGCCTTGTCTGCTCGCACGTAAACGAGCTACCATCGGGCACGGGGGGCGATTCGGCTGATAGGTGTCTGGTGGCGGCCCGGTGACCCGGCTCGCCGACCCTGGCCCGTGGTGCAGTCGAGGTCACGGGCGCTGCGCCGCTGCACTGTGGCCGGCCGACCGAGCGCTGGTTCTTGCAGCTGTGAGCGCAAAAACTGGCACCCGGGACGTCCGGCCGCGTCACTGAGGGACCTTAGTGTCGCCGCGATCCTGGCACGTGCCGATGAGCCCCGTGTCCGGGTGGGTGGATTGGGTCACCTGGCCAGCCGGGTAGGTACCAACGGGATGGTAAGTTGTGCAGGTATTTTACACAGACTGTTCGACCATGTTCATTCGTCTGTGTGGGTGCAGTGCACCCTTGTGGTCGCTGTTATGCATTGGAGCGGAGAATACGAGCATATCCGACTGACTCAAACAGGTTAATTGAATTCCTGCCTTCTCGCCTGTTGACTCGGGAAGGTAACCACACTGAAGGTACGTTGTAGTCACGAATCACGTATTCCTCGACCCATGACGGTCCTTGTATGTCGCAATTAACAGTTTACATTTATCCGATTTACAGAGGACAGAGGGTGCTGGTACCAGCTCTGCTGTTCCGGAGGAATCTCCAAGTCGGACCCATGGAACGAGAAGGACAATAAGGATCACATCATCATGGTCTTCTTCCGGGACGGCGTGGCTCAACTCCTCAATATCCCGGCCATCAAAGGTACGCGTCCTAACTGGATCACCAAAAGAATCATGATCCCTTCACACATGCATATGTTCAGCCAACTACAGTAAATAACTTCAATTTTATTGCTGAAAATTAATAACAAAAATTAAAACACGGCGCCCATCTTCAGTAAATGTCATTTTGTTTGATGCACGACGCCTCCGATCTCCTTAGAATAAACCGACGAGTTCCAAAAAAATATAGGCTCACAACGTCTCCGATGACCTCATCTATCGGTATGTAGTGGCTACAGGTGTTTCAGTAAGCACATCTGAATTTAAAATCACCTGGATACACGAGAAATATCTTACAAGTCCTCTGACGTGCCATCAACGCAACACCTGTAGATCTGGTTTCCTTTGCATACCAAATAACAGAATGCATTTGCTGGCTGCACTCGTGACACAAACTTGTGAAAGCTTCCGACTGGTTGCCGTAAATATTTTTTTTTATTTGTAAATTATCCCAACTGTCGCTCTTGAATCGATGAATTTCCACATTTAAAACCCACAACACAGTGGCTGTATTTCGCACCGTTATAAATAAACCGATGCTCGTCAGCATCCTTTCAAGCTAGTTACTTTGACCGATTCCCTGCACTTCACTTCATCCGGCCGTTGCTGTCACTGACTCTGCCCTCCCCCACAGCGTTCGTCATCATGGTGTTCCTGGTGTACCTCGGCGTGGCCATCTGGGGCTGCACCATGGTCAGAGAGGGTCTGGAGCGACGCAGGCTCTCCAAGGACGACTCGTACTCAGTCCAGTTCTACGACGTCGAGGATCTGTACTTCCGAGAGCATCCGTACAGAGTACAGGTGAGGAGGTGCCGCCTGGTTTACGCTCATCTCACTCAAGCAGTGGTGGTGGATAACCTTTCGTACCACCGATACCTCGGTCACTGCTCTTTAGCTCAGTTGGAGATAACGCATCGGTTGAAGTGCCCTCGAACCCCAACGTGTTCTGGTGTCAAGAAAACTGCCTCATCTATCAGTCAATAGTCCACTTACAAAGCTGTCATGTAGACTGCTCATCGCCGTCGTATGAACCCAGCTGGCTCGGCTGTCACAGTACCGATCAAGATACGCACGGTGACACTCCCTGCATGGACACACCTGCCATTCAAACAGCCAGGTGCGCCGTCCAGTGACTGTCTGTGCCATTAACGTTCCTTCGAGCCCCGGGGCATAGCGACGGCCTGTCAGCGGACTGGAAAATCCCGCCCGCTGTGACCGAGCCCTGAGCGTATGCAGTTGCTGTCATGATAGCGGTAAAGTGCAGTGAAGGGGAGGGGTATGATGACCGCACCGGCGACGTTCAAGGAGGGGCGTCATTGATGACACTGGCCGGCCAGACGGGTCATGCAGCTCACGTTGTACCCCGCCACGCCACCGTCTGCGGGAGGTGTGTCTGGGTCAGCCCTGTCGGCGCAGATGCAGGCATCCATAGCTGTCAGCTCTGAAGGTGCGGCTCGTAACATTTCGACGCGCTAATGCGTGAGAATGGGCGGGACCTTAATGTTTATAGTTGGGGACACATGTCGTCGGAGGGTATGGTAAGCTTAATTGAAGAATAAAACTGACCAGATGAGCATGCTAATATGCGTCACATGCTAGGTTAGTGTTGCTTATAAACATGGCGGTATACCTAGACAAGGCAGCAAATTAAATAGTCAATTTTTACTAGTTTTTTTTTTTTGGTTTAGATGCCGCTTAGGAAGTTACCTATCGGTATTTTATTAGCGCATGCAACAATGACAATTGAAATTGAAAGTGTGCATATGCATAAACATATGTGCAATGTGCATTGTGCAATATTGAGCATCTTATTAAAAGTCACATCGTTATTCATAACCGCCACTCGTCTCCATGAGACTGACCGTATATAGCCCCCAAAGTGCCTCCCATGTTGCTATCGGCACGCCAGTAATGCATTCAGAACTCGCTGCTCAGTTTCACTTTTCATAGATGTCCTCGCAATGACCAAGGACAGACCCAGAGACCAGGCATGCGAGGCCCGTCATTCAGAAAATTCGCGGTCCTCATTCACCTGTCAACGAATCGAAAAGGTCACGACACTCGCGCTCCTGTTATGGAGTTCGTCAGGCTTCGCTAGTGCGAATTTGCATCAGGTTTTTGCGGGAATCTCCCAGACCCCAGTCGATGTCCATTGGTTTCCTGAGCACGTCTTGTCCCGCGTCTAGCATGAGGAAGCCTTTGGCATAGAGGTGTGAATTATCAGAATAAACATCACGTCAGACATTCCTTTACGGTGCCACTTCTTCGTCCGTGTACGGCACCGCGAGAGACCGGATCTCGCCGTCTGGTCAATCCGGTACTGTATGAAAATGTGTGCTTCCCTGCTTTGGAAACTCTGCCGTACGCCTTGCCAGCTAAGTAACATATTCGCTCGTTCGTGATGCATCGCACCCGAAGAAAGCATCCATAGGCCAGGCAATACGCATCACTGCCAGTGGGACCGGTCAAACGTGAAATCAGACATCTGCATCCTAGTCTCTAACCCCGCTTTTTTGTCTCTCCCTTCAGGTGATCGTGCAGGGCAAGATGGACTACTCCGACCCGGAGGTGCAGCGTCAGGTGGAGAAGCTGTTGCAGACGTTCGAGAACTCGACCTACATCGAGGGCCGCTTCTACACCGAGTCGTGGCTTCGGGACTGGGTCAGCTTCGTGGAGACAAGCGCGCCCATCCTCAACATGAACGTCAGCACGCCTGAGCTCTGGCTGGAGGGATACAAGACGGTACGTGGTGGTGCGACGGGTCAGCTTACGTGCATTTTAGGCGCAGTTTTGAAGTAAAAAATCGCTTGATAAGCATTCCTTTTGTATTGTAGTAAAACCAAGAAACAATGTGAAGATGCTTTTTAACTTATTGGTAAACGAAAGCTCATTCTAAGCGCATCTTGCAGAAACGTTCCTTAGAGTTATTGCCTCTGCAAAGATAAAACCGTCTTCTATCTGAACATGAGACCTGGCACCGACTACCGTTCCCCTTGTCATTCTAAAGTGCCCTCAATCTCGCACGGCATCTCGGTCCTTGGATGTCCTCGTCTCCAGCTACCCCATTAGCATGTCCGCCGCTGACCCGCGGAAATCCCGAAACTCCTGCCATCCGCCGACCCCCATCACATCCCGAATTCGTGCCACGAGCCGTCGTGGGTGGCACGTGACACGTGGCCAGACTGTCCCGTGTGCAGACAGACCATTTTAAGGACCACTCGCAGCGATGGGCCGTATTGTAGCGGGCTTATCTCTAACTTACCGGCATGCTTATCTCCATCTAAACTCTCACGAGCCACATAAACAAGGCGCATTACTCATCCCGCCTGTCAGGCGCGGTCCCAAAGCGCGCCATTTCCTGATTCTCTTCTGAATTTGAATGAAGCAAGCAAGCGATGAGACGATCGGTGAGCCTTGAAGTCATCATGCCACAACTCGCATAAATTGACGAATCGTGCATGCACAACGACTTTTCGTCTATCATTCACCGTCTTATCCATCAGCTAACCGAGAGTGTTTGCTGTTCGGCAGGCGTTCCTGGGCGGCTCCAGCCCCATCACACTCGACACGGCTTTCAACGAGAAGGGAGAGATTGTCGCCAGTCGCTTCATCATCCAGACGCGGCACATCAACAACACGCTCGAGGACAAGGACATGATGCTGGAACTGCGCCGCATCTGCGAGGAATCCGAGCTCGAGTGCTCCATCTTCCATCCGCTCTTCGTCTTCTTCGACCAGGTCAGGACCCGGGAGAATGTCCGGTGTAGGTATAGGCAACACGCTGAGTAAAAGTCTAAAAAGCTAGCGTCAAACCATGACAGTTAAATGGCGCCCCAACATTGAAGCTTTATGGTGCTGATCCGAGGCAAAGTCGAGGTCGGTTATTTATGTTCTCCCAGAAGTTGGAAGAGCTTTTGCCAGCTTTCTGTTTCGACAAATCTTCAGTCTTGTTAGGTTCTAAACAGTAACCCTGCCTAGCTGGTTCCATCGGTAATCTGCACCGCCCGCCATAACGTTCTTCTTCTCTGTCTCCACAGTTTGTGCTGGTGCGCACCGTCTCCATCCAGTCCATCTCGATCGCCGCCGGCATCATGTGCGTCGTCTCCCTCATCTTCATCCCGAACCCGGTCTGCTCGCTCTGGGTGGCCTTCAGCATCCTTAGCATCGAGATCGGCGTCATCGGCTACATGACCCTCTGGGGCGTCAACCTGGACAGCATCTCCATGATCAACCTCATCATGTGCATCGGATTCTCGGTGGATTTCTCGGCGCACATCAGCTACGCGTACATGGCGGCGCACGGGAAGACGGCCGATGAGAGGGTTCGTCTGTGCCTGCACGCCCTTGGTCTACCGATCCTTCAGGGAGGCTTCTCCACCATCCTTGGCGTGGCCACGCTGTACTTTGCACCGTCCTACATCTTCGTGACGTTCTTCAAGACGAACTTCCTGGTGATCTTCTTCGGCATGGTGCACGGCATCTTCCTGCTGCCTGTGCTGCTGTCGCTCTTCGGGCCCGGCTCCAACTGCTGCGGCGGCGGCCACATCCACGTCGAGCCCACGGAGGTGAAGCCGAACTCCCTGGCGGCGCTGCCGACCGCTGACGGCACGTTCTACGTCAACGGCGGCGGCCAGATCGTCACCCTGCACGGGAAGGCGGGTGAAATGCCGCCTCTGCGCATCCCGCGGCCTCAGTCCAGCCGAACGTCGCGCACGGACTCGTCAGTCCGGCTCACCACCGGGGCCTTCACCGTGGCTGAGGAGTCGCCGCCATCGCTGCCTAAGGTGGATCAGACCGCCCTGGACAAGGACCTCGGTCTGGGCACCTCTGGCGAGGACAGTATCGAGAGCAGCCTCTCCAAGGGCGCCTCCAAGAGCGCAGCGTCGGCCAGCGGCGGCCGACGCGCGCATCGCACCAAGTCGGCGCCGCTCTCGCTGCTAGAGATGTACAACAATACCGGTTACGTGAGCGACGACGAGACGAGTAGCCCTCGCCGGCCGCGCGGCCACCGCGGCGGAGTGAAATAACACAGCCCCGGATAGCTAGACTACCAGCAACCGAGAGCTAGTCAGCCGCCGGATTCGAGCGGCCCGCCACGCCGCGCCGGTGGCGCCCCCTTTACAGGGCGGGCGCTACAGATGGCGCCAGTGTCACCCGACCGACCTCACCAGGTGGTCAACAAGGCGTGGCACAGCGCGGCTCGGGCGCTAGCCCTGATGTTATGTGTTGTCGCTCGCTGCTCACTCTGATCGCTTTGTGTGAGCCTGTTCAGTCGCGACCTCGAGTGAAGCTGTGTCTCTGTGAGCGAGCAATGATGCACGTTGGCGCGTCCATCATCCGGATCACTGAGGGACCAAGCCACGACAAGTACATGTCGCGCCGTGACCTCGCAACGCCGGACGTTGCGAGACATTGAGCAAGCTGACGGCGTGCCACTTGCCAAACCGCAGCGCCAGTGAGCAGACAAACCTGTGCTGCCATCTATGCGGATCGTCGCTCAACCGAGAGACAGTGTATGACCTCGGCCCGCTGCCTCGCGCAGCTTCACGGACATTTGCGGGTGCGTTTGCTAAGAGTTATTCATTGCTGTGCTCGTGTGTATCATTCTCTGTCGTGCTGCCGGTTGCCAAACCTGCGCATTTCACCGTATGTTGACTCGTGAGTGGCTACCAGACGTACCTCTGGCCCGAGGTCGCTCAGTCGTCCAGCCACCGTCAGGGGCCGTGTCACCAGTCACCGCCGGCGCTGACGTCCTCTCAGTGACGTCATCGCCGGCGGTGACGTCACTGGTCACCGAGTGGTGACGTCACAGGTCATCAACCGCGGTGACGCCAGAGTACGTATCGCATACGCGGGAAATATATTATTTGTACAGTCTAAGCGGCGACTCTGAACTGAGAGACCCCCGGTCTTCAACGTTTTTTTCCCATAAAGAAGAACTGCTTACATTTTCATCGTACTACTGAAAAAGTGAAACGTTCGTTAATTAGGCACCTCTGTTATCTTGTTGCTATTTATAACTGGATTATGTAATCAATAAGACCAGATGAAACTGCAATTCCAGAAGCTGTTTTTTAAACTTCTTATTCTCCGTTATTCATCCCCACAGTGATACCCCGTTGTCCAAAACAGAAACACAATAATGAGCTGGAGAAATCTCCACAATTTATACGCATCATCGGCGTCACGACCAACGCAAACCACAACACTGGCGAGGCCGAACACTGTCTCTACATATGCAGGTGCTCGAACAAAGCACGCCCCAAAAGGCAGCGCAACAGGCCACCAGCGAGGTTACACAACTGAGATACGCTCCGGCATTCTAAACAGGCCTACAGATACACTCAATTAACACAATGCATTGTCTCTAAAGTTGCCGAGGTACACGACTCGGGAACATTTCAGAAAATCCTTATTACAAAACCACGTTTCGGTGGAATGCTCTCAGAGGATCCTATGCGTGCACCGCTTGATATGGGGTTTGGTATGTACGCATTTGACGGCTCCTGCGTTAACTGCGATATGGTAGGTCCTGAATGCAGATATATTCAAACAGTCGACATCAGTCTGCAGACACATCTCAAAAGAGCAGCTACAAATACAGAGCAATTCATGCACCGAAAATGGTATAGAAAACAACGAAAAATTGACTTTAATACCTTACAAAGTCCTTTTGTAACACAGAAAGGGTAGAAACCTACTAGCAATGTCTAATACAAACAAAACTAATACTTCGAGTCGCTCTCTTTGCGATATAATTTCGTAGATCCTGACGGTCGGCAGCCGAGTTGAGCCGCCCTGCAGCGGACGCAGAGCTGCTGGCGGAGGGCCCATGCGGAGGGCCCGAAACCTTCTATCACAGCTGAGACAGAGCCCCCTGTCGGGTGCGGTCCGGTTCCGACCGGCTCGGTCCGGTTTGACCCGGTCAAAGGTGGTGACCGCACCGCCTTGTCCTCAGCCACACACACGCAGACACGCATACACATACCGTGATGAAAGACAGCGCGCGGTCCACGGACCAACGGCCCCTCCGTCCCTCTCTCCTACCCTCCCGCTGAGCCCCGACCCATACTCTACCCTGAGGCAGCACGAGCTCACCCATATCTATATGCTGGCCTTCTGTAGGTCCCAACACTCAACACCATCTTCGCGATAACTGGACATACTCTCAGGTTACCCCAGAAAACCCAAACTATCCCCTTCTGACTTGACTGAATCAGCGCTCACCAACCAAGGGCGACAACAAACCCAAGCCAAACAAACCTCAGGCCAGCTGAGTGAATGACAAACAGCACACTTCGTCCCAACAGCCCCACAACACACAAACACCCAAACACACGGCTACGCAAGCACCTTCTCTGCGTCCTGATCACCTATGAGTCCTTCGAAACGCACCGAGTCCGGAATGACTGCATGCCTCACAGAGTCCAAGCCTCAAAGAGTCCAGGCTTATGGTAACAAGTCCAGGTCTCGAACAGCCACAGCTTCCGACCAGCTCCAGGGCACAACAGTGCAACCACCGAAACGAGTGTCACTGTGCAGTGAAAGCGTCACTCGCTGGTGTCTTCTGAGGCAGCACTAGTTTCAGTAGTCGGGGACAAGCCCCACGAGGCGAGTGACCACAGCAGTGCTACCTGTAGGACGAGAAATGAATCAGTGGGGTTCTCTTTGAAACACGATGTCCTGCAGATGCTTTTTTTTGTAGCAACAGCTTCGAGCGTCTGTGATATATGACACACAAACACGAGTAAATAATCGTCTTATTGGGCGTATCTCTCATAGATTAAGGTTACAAGCTAAACTTCCCTCTGCACAGCATAAAGTGTGAGTAACTCACCGTCGTCTTCCTGAGCTGGTCGGCCCCACGCTGTCACATTTCCCGTAGACTGGCGACTGGCTTCGAAGATGACTGGTAACACAGGACACATACGCATACTCGTCCATACACTCGCACACACACTCACAGGGGCCGGCGCGGGGCAAGCCGGAGCCCATACTGTCCTTCGCTGAGTTTGAGTGGCCGCGGAGCCACCGGTACCCCTACTACGCCAATAAATAGTGAATACACTGAAAACGGAGAAGAAAGAAAAAGTAAACACACAAGCATAAGAAAGGCAACACGAATAACGACGATGCCTAGAACGAACGGTGTGAAAAGAGCAAATTACTCGTAAATGCAAAACTCAAAATGTACAGGCACTGCTTGAACCAACGCTACCCCCATAGAGCCTTCTGTAATGAAAGACAGAATCTGAAAAAAATCAGCCAAGATTGATAACAAACGTTAATGCGGTTAGATATCTACATTGATATGAAAACTAATGCATAATGTTCTGTTCGGCCTGCCACATGTAAGAGCTGATTTACAGTCAACGGCAGCAATAAATTACACACATAACTACGCACTGACCGTTACGTTACGACAGTTTTGACTCGTCGTAGTTCTGGAACGTCCAGCGTATCCGCTGGTCAAGCGGCGAGCACTCCTGCATGGTGAGCTTCTTCTTGTCTTCGCTGATGCCCAGACAACGCTTACTCGATCCGTGCTGGATGTAGTGCGTCTGGGGACAAAAGTGTAATGCAGCTAGTTAGTTGAGATATGGGAACATGTCGACGAAGGGGTCATGATGAATCCACCACGGTCAGAAAAAATCATGTGGAACTCAATTATCAACAATGTGTTTCTCCATCGTTGTTATTGCAAATCACTTATACCAAATCATGAACCTCAAGTATATACCCGATCAGTCCCCCTTTTCTAATACAGCATTCACCGTTCTGTATGAATGCAACCAACATCTAAACGTCTTAAAACCGCCGAGTATGTAGTCTCCCAAGTCGCCTGGGAGTTGGAGGCTCCGTTGGAGCCCGGGAGTTGGAGGCACCCTGCCCCGAAATCCCAAACACAGCTCCTTCTCAGCGAATGTCGCTTCTTCCGCACCTTGGGGTCGTACGTCCAGAACTGGTTGCCCTTGGAGCCGTGGCAGGGGTAGAGGACCACCTCTGACCCAGAGTAGTCCATACAGGCCTCGTCACGGCGAATCTCGCCCTCCTTACTCAACATCCAGAACTGGTGCGCGGAGAGAGACGGAGGGCGGTCAGTGTGGTATTTGGGCATTGTGGGTTATAGGGCGACATTCAGAAGTGAACGACACAACAGGTATTCCGAGTAGTAAAACAGCGATAAAATTAGCTGTTGCTCTTGCCAAAATCAGGATATCATTGGCCCTTACTGCAGGACAACACAATTGTGGCGATTGATTCAAGAGTAACATCAGTTAGGGCAAGAAGAAAAAATGAGCAGTGAAAAACAATATAACTTTATCACTTAGCACACGTTTCTCGAGGTTCACGGCAAAACGTACCTGATTTCCGCCTTGTTTGTGGCACGGATACGTCCCCACCGCCTTATACATATCCTTGGGGTCGCATGGAGAGTCCACGCAAATGCCCGTGGCCAAGTTTCGCACCTAGCAAGAACATCATGAACGCCTCACGTAAGAACACATTCCTTACGGTACAGCCACCGCGACTGCTGCAACATTTATACCGAATAGTTCGTGATTGACTGAGTTTCTGAGCTCTGTATAGATGTCGCTGGCGTCGCGGTGGCTGCCGGTCCATTTTCTGCAGTCCCGTACCTGGTTACCACCCTGGTTGTGACAGGGGAACAGACCGACAGGTTTGTGAAGGTCCTGGCGGCGCGCCGCGGAGTCCAGACACGTGCTGCCGCCCAGCGCCAGGTTACGGACCTGGGGACGCCAGAGGTCACGCTGCTCAGGACAGGGGTCAGGCTGTGCCGCTGACCTCGGGAGCATGCCCGCCAGCTCTCAGAGTTTATGTACAAGAGGCGTGTTGGTAGTAATGTGCCTTCACCCAGCAAGCGCTGCAATTGCTGCTGATGTTACTATAGAAAGACGTCAAAGACGCTAATTGGACGTTAAGTGCAAAGCGCCGAGCAGCGACCACTCTTATCTAGATAGGTACCTATTCAAATTCATGTAGTCTGATACACAGTTGAAAGATCGTATAAACCCCCCGCTCGATATCCTGTTTCGTTGTATGTAAGTATGTAGTCCTACAAGGCTTTGCCGCAGAAACTGAGCTGAAAAGTTAGGTAGGCAGCACCCAACACACGAGATAACAGCTTCAGGGAGTTCACCGTTCACCAGTCGGGCGTATGGATGTTATGTTATGTTTACAAATTCACCGCATACCGTGCATGCAGACAAGCTAGCTGATCAGCGATAGCGTTCTAAATTCGGAGCCAAACGGGCGCTGTCGTGAGCCATGCGAGGGGCTGCATTGGAAAACTGGTAGTGTCTAGTAGCCGGAATGTGGCGCGTAACATTACAAGCGTAAGGGCTCATAAACGTAAGAAAATAGACGCAGTTTAAAAGCGGACAACCCGTTGAGAAGCATACCCAACATCAAGGATCTGCCGAGCGTAAACAGCGTAAACTTGCTGTTCCGAAAAGAAAGCATTGGATAAGTACCGTTTTTGTGAGGGGTTGTCACTCAAGACATAAGCGTATGCCAGGCGGATGCCACCTTCCTCCGGATGGACTTCATGCAGCGACCGGTGACGTCATATAACGACGTCACAGTCTCCGAGGGGCGAAAGCGTGGACCGTGCAGGGGAGGAAGGGGGGGGGGGGAGAGCGTGACCTCCGGCGTCCCTTCGAACGGGGCCAAACTCGGATCATCCAGTCAGGGTGGCAACCAAGACGGCTCAAAATAGCAACACGGCTTCTCAAAATACGATCGATACTAGCGATCAGCCGGTAAAAAATACAGAGCTATCTGACAAAAAGGATCATTCATGTCACAGAGCACAACACAAAGCACCAACGACCCCACAAGCAGATTCAAAAGGAACA